GGATGGAGTGAGTTACAGAATGGGCCAACAACAGGAGCAGAAGGATGCGGGTTCATCCACTGGGACAATGTGGTATCTGCTCCGGCATTCATAACCTCTACAGGTCAATACATTCAGAGTATCACGAGTGATTTTGTTAGAAGTGGCACAGAGCTACAACTCGCATCTGGTGTAAAGACACAATGGACCACATCTGGAACATCCATATATTACAACAGCGGAAACATTGGGATAAACCAGAGCGCACCATCTGAAAAACTCGACGTTGTAGGCAACATCAAATATTCTGGTTACGTATATAAAAATTCAAAATGGTTATCAACGCCTTATGCGTCATTGCCTGCTTGGATAAAGATTGGGACATACAATAATCGCGCTTTCTCCAAATTTCAGATAAACATTGCAGGGGGTGGCAGGCACGACTTTATTGAGTTTGAGTTGTATATGAATTATGGCACCATATCTAATCCAAAGGAACAACTTAAGGTGTTTTCTTCAACTGCTCACAGCAACAAATTTACAAGTATATTGATTGAGAATTACAACGCTTATTATTCTACTACAAGGACAATATGGGTATATTACAATGGCACAGCATCAAATAACGCAGCATACGATGGTGCTATTGCTACAAGGGAGTGGATGAACCATTACAGCAGTAGTTTTTCATTAACTGATATTGAGCTTACAACAACGAAACCAACAGGCACAGAGTTTTTGATAAATGACAATGAAGAGCTATGGATAGGCTTCGACTTCAACTTTACTGGGACACTGACAGGCGGTACAGTGCCAGCTGCGAGAGTGACAGGACTTGGGACCGTAGCCACTACAAACGATTACAATGACCTTGATAATCTCCCTGATATCATAAACAGTCAATGGGCAACATCTGGAACATCTATATATTACAACAGCGGAAACGTTGGGATTGGGACGACTAATCCATCTCACAAGCTCGATGTTGTTGGTGATATAAATAGCACCTCCCACATGACATGCGGAGGGGTCCTTACATCACTCGGAGGATGTAAGCTGTCCATACAAGATAGTCAAGATGGAGGCACAGGAAGGGGAATATATATGTGGAATGATACGGATACAAACTGGGCAATTTATATGGGACAGTCTGGGGCATCTAAGGCGATTAATGGCGGCACGGCAGTGGCAGGGAACGACTTCACATCACACGCTATCAGATTTAGGGTGGCTGATGGTGCTACAACAGGTTTTATATTTGAAAACCATAATAACGAACTCTTAGCATCTTTGAGGGGGTCAGATGGTAACTTCTATGTGAAAGGTATAGTAACAGCAGCTGGATTTAGTGGGATAACGGAGGCAAATGTTCCAAATCTAAACGCTAGTAAGATAACAGCGGGGACATTGAATAAAGACAGGCTCCCTTCTAGTATTGGAGATAGTACAGACTCTAGGGGAAAATTTACAATTAATTTAACGAGCACAGCAACATACGCCGCAAACGCAGATATTGGAGATGGCAATAGATGTCTTACTGTACAAAATCCGACAACCTCTACAACAAATGGGCTTTATACAGCACTTCATTTACAAGTAGGCCCAACTACCACAGCCCGCGCAATGTGTGACATCAAATATATCAGGAACAATGGGAAAGAAGGCAAATTATGCTTTACCATTACAGATACAAGCGGTAACCGTAAAGACATTATGACGATGATAGGAGGAGGAACAACTACCATAAACGGAGATTTATCATTTACTGGAAGTCTGACGGGGGGTACTGTACCAGTAGCACGGATAACAGGCTTAGGAACCGTAGCCACTACAAACGATTACAATGACCTTGATAATCTCCCTGATATCATAAACAGCCAATGGACCACAAGCGGGACATCATTATATTACAATACTGGTAATGTCGGGATAAACAAGGCATCACCATCTTATACACTGGATGTTGGCGGTGTGATTAGAACAAACAATAAGATAGCTGTCGTAAATGATGCGTTATGGGACCATTTACAGTTATGGCACAATGGCTCAACAGGTTACCTTGACTTTGGGGGTGCTGAGAGTGGATTTAAGATAAGATTGAACACTAGCGGCTCCACATTTCCAGCGTCTTCATATTCTGATGCTATCTCTTGCGATGGCAGTCGGAACATAACATTGAGTGGTGCTAATTTGGCAATTAGTAACAAGCATGCGTTCAGAGGCAATGATAGTTGGTTAAGGCTTAACCAAGATGGAGCATTCACAAGCGGCACATACACGCCAAATAAGTTTAGGTGTGACGGGGGGATATTCTTAAACGGTGATACCTGTCGTTTGGAGTATCCAACTGGTGAATATGGTAGCTGTCAAATAACAGGCAGCGGTAATAACAATTGGGAGGGCTATTCAATCGATGGGCGGGTTGTGTTCATGGCTGATGGCGGGAGTTCATGGGGGTTATACAACGACGTAAATAACCATTGGATGATATATGGACTTTTGAACAACTATGTAGAGTTGCGATATGCCAACACGACAAGGTTTCAAACAACAAGCGACGGCGCGAGTGTGTCAGGCAATCTCTCAACTAGTGGCAACCTTTCAGTTGGCGGGACAATTTCAGGAACTGGTGTGAGCCGTTTGTTTAACTTAATGGGAAACAATCACGGAAGTTACACAGACTTTAACGCTATCCCTGATTTTGGAAATTGGTTTATTACTAGCACAACAAACGGACCCAGTGTCAATGGGGCTAATCAATATTATAGTTGGAACATAGGACTTGGAGCAAATTACCCTTGGAGCGGCGCGGGTTCATATGGTGCTCAGTTTGCTTTGCCTAGAGGGAATGTCAGTTTTAACAATCCTTATTTGTGTGTGAGATACAAGGAGAATAATTCTCTGTCAGGTTGGAAGAGAATAAGCGCAGGATATGCCGATACAGCTGGCTCATCAAGTGGCAATTTTACAGTAAATGGAAGCGTTTTTATTTCAGGGACTGAAATCTTACAAAGCGATAGCAGTTGGACAAGGCTCTATGGTAGGGCTAATGGTTGTGCTATATATAAGGGAATTTCTATGGCTGACCAAGGATATCTCAATGTTGGGAGCTGGGAAAGAATACCGGATAACACTGTTAAATGCGTAACCCTGAATACTGACCGTATAAATATACCTAGAGCAAGTGGTCCATACAATGACGATGGACGCTGGAAGATTTATATGCTTGGCGGTAGTACTCCTTGGGGAGGAGTGTCAGCGCAGTACGACCTTATGTTTCAGTATGGAACATCAGATAATTATGGCGAACAATGGCTGAGGCACAACGACGATGGGAACGACGACCTCGATTTCACCGGCTCGCATAGGTGTATAGCTGAAACATCGAACCTGCTAGATGATATAACATCAAACATTGATTACTATCAGGGCATGCTTGTTAGCACTACAGGATATTATCAAGACCTCAACAGAATTGATAATGAGTTTAGTTCAAACATAAGGATTGACAGCTCTCTACCAGTCATAAAGATGACTGATTTAGCTATGGACAAGGCCGTTTATGGGGTTATATCAAACGTTGAAGAGGGAGATAAGAGAGTTTATAAGACCGGCAATTGGCATTATGCCTATAAGAAGCTAGATGGCAACCGGTTGATGATTAACGCAGTGGGCGAGGGTGCGATATGGGTGACGAATTATAACAACATTCAAAAAATAGACAATGGCGATTATCTGTGCTCATCCCCTATAAGAGGGTATAGTATGGTCCAGAGCGATGACCTTCTACACAGTTACACGGTAGCGAAGACTAGCTGCCCAGTTGATTTTATTGATGAGAATTCAGACTGGTATTATAAGAACTTTAAGCATCGATATGAGACCTATGAGGGCAATGAGTATATATGTGTGTTCATTGGTTGTACATATCACTCAGGTTAAAATAATAATATAGCTGGGGGTTGCGCCCCCCAACGGCGCTGTTTTTTGGTTAAGCTTTTTTTAAAAGCTTACATCTTTATAAAGATGACCGTAAAAGTCAGGAATAAGAGGAGCGGAGTGTCTGTGGAGGTTAATATCAAGAACGAGAACAATCAAGAAAGCAAGAACAAGTATGTCCCACACATCCCATCGTGGCAGGATGAGGGCCAAGCACCACCCCCCCAGACACACATCCAGCATGTCATCCCATATTTCAATAAGAATTTTTCATTTGAACCTCAGTATAACAGCAAGAAATACGCAGACAGCACTAACCCAATGATTCCAGATGGCAATAGCGAGATACCGCAATATATAGCAGCACCCAAACCAGCATCAGAAGAACCAGCACCACCAGCACCACCAGCATCTGGAGCAGCAGGAGCAGCAGGAGCAGCAGGAGCAGCACCACCAGAAGAACCAGCACCACCAGCACCACCAGCATCTGGAGCAGCAGGAGCAGCAGGAGCAGCAGGAGCAGCAGGAGCAGCAGGAGCAGCAGGAGCAGCACCTGAACAGGAACTTATTGAGCCGCTGGACTATTGGCCGCCGTCACTCGTCACTCGTTTTAATGAATCTTCACGACGAACGCAACAAAGGATGATTGAGACCAGCAATGAAAGATATAGAACACTCTCTAGGTCGTTATCAACTGGCGATAATCTTCTCAGCGCCAGGGCTATCACCGATAGTGGGCTATGGGCTATTATCCAGGAAATGCTCGACACAGAGTCTATCCCAAGCTCAGAGGCTGAACAGCATTATTCAACTCTCTTGAACAGAAGATTGAGAAGGAGGAATGAGATTTAGGCTGTTGATTCTGGAATCAAATTTTTTTTTTTGTGAAGCTATCTTAAAAGATGGCCGAATCGAGTTCCCAGTACCTACCCACAAACCTCAGATGGAGGATTTCGAGCCTTCAAAATATGTCGAAGGTCAAAATCCAGGTCATCCCTCAGACGCCTTCCACTGTGAAGCCAGGGCAGAAGCTACAGGTGACATTGCCTTATAGCTCGTTGCTTGACCTGAGTACGTTTTCGATGGAATTTACAGGGGAGACCGTGGATGGGGTTCTTGGCAAGACCGGGGGCTCTTACTACAATACCCTCCGCTTTCCTAGGAATACCTTCTCGCTGATTGACAGCCTTATGATTAAGTTCAATAATGTTGTGGTTCAAAATATTACCGATTATAATGTCGTTCAAAACATACTATTCGATATCGTCTCGAACAACCAGGACGCAGACGGTCGTATGAATTGCTCTATGTTGAACAACGACCCAAGCGTAAAAGTAGCCGGCGATTATCGATACATTGGCTGTGGGCCAATCAGCACTACCCTCGTCGATGGCACCACTGCTCTGGACGCATCGGACGATATCTGTAAGGACAGGGCCAACTACTATATTAAGAACTGGCTGGGCATCCTCCAGCAGGGCAACGTGAATATTATCGACACAAGTCTGGTCGGGACTATCCAGATTACCATTGGATTTGCCTCAGCGGCTGTGTTGGCTAAGAGCTACCCCAACGCTACAGATGAAACCACATACCCAAGCCCTGACTACACCCTGAGCGACATCAAGTTCAATATGACTAAAATCAATATGCCGTCGTGGTGGTATGAGGGCATGAGAACTCAGCTAATGAACGGGACAACCTATTCATTGTATTTCCCGCATTACAATGTCTTCACGGGCCAGTCGAACCCGAGCAAGAGTCAGACCACTAGATTTACCATCGCTTCAGACAGTCTGGATTACGTTCTCGGAACTTTTATCCCAAGTGACTACACCGACACTACCAAACTCAAGACCTTCGGCGATTCGACTAATAATAAAGACAAAACCATCGATGCTGTCATATCGGGAGGCAAAGGTTCTTCTCAGAATCAGAGCCGATATTTCCGGCGAAACGGTGACAATTTGCTGAGCTCTCAATGGACGCTTGGCAGTGAGAAGTTGCCCCAGGTCCCGAATACCCTCACGGGCTGTGTCCAGTCTGTGGTGGAGGCGTTCAACCTCCACCAATCAGCAGACGGCGGATTTTATAAGGGCTGTACTGACATTGAGATGTTTTCAACATTTTTCTTTGCCGATATTTTGAGTCTCCAACACGTCGGAGATACGAGCGGAATTATGCTGGTTTCGGGCCTAGACACAAGGCAGCTCCCAATAATCGTCGAATGGTCCACAAGAGATGTTGGAACAACTACTTATTCGACTTCAAGTCAATATTGGACACCATTCATCATCGCCGCAGAGACCCGCAAATGCGATATCAGTGCCGGAAACAGTGTGAGCATCAATTAAACTAAAAATATACACTGATAGTAAAGAACATGTTTTTGCCACCGACCACAGTCAAAGCCGGCATCAATAGGCATTTGAGCTTCCAGCAAATCGACAAGGATACCGACCACCATAAATGCTACAATCCAATTAAGCCAAATGACGATACTTATAAGCTCCCATATCCAACGTCGAGCATCTACTATTTACAACACGAGACGGCTTTCAAGCCTGATATTTACAACTCAAAGAGCTCATATGAGCCTCTTAATCATGATGACTGGTATCCAATGTATGCGGACAAGCTGCCAGATAGAAGGATGAACGTGATGTACCAGATGACGCCTATCTCTGAGATACCAAGGATGCCCATCAAGGTACATCGGCCATAATTCAGTGTTTTTATTTTCTTATTCTTCTTGTAAAATGGGAAGAAAGCCTAAGGTACAGGTTGAAGAATCAGATGTTGAACAACCGGCGAAGGTTGTCAAACCAAAAAAGGAGTGCTCACCCGAGCTGCTCGAACGACTAGCACAGATGAGAATCAAGGCAGAGGAAGCACGCAAGGCCAAGGCTAAGCTGAACGCAAAAAGCAAAGTTAATAAGATGATTAAGATGGAGGCCTTAAAGCAGGACGCCCAAGAGTTCGACAGGATTGTTGAGAGGGTCACAAAGCCAGAGGTAAAGTCGGAGCCAGAAGTCCCTAAACCAGCTCCCGAGCCAGTCCCCGAACCAGCCCCTAAGGCCGCGCCTAAGAAAAAGATAAAAAAAATCATATATGAGGAGGATGATGACAGCGATGAGTATGAGGAGGTGGTGGTCAGGAGAAGACGTGACAGAGCCCCCAGAGTGGCAACCCATTATGACGACGAAAGAGAGATTGGAGCACTAGCAAAGCAGGCAGTTAATCAACAGCTAAGGCAAAGGGTGAATCAGGAGCGCGCTAAGTATATAAGTAACCTGTTGGCTCCTGAATATTACTAATATCAAGTTATAATAAATTGACAGTCAAAAAATGGAGGTACAAGAGCACCAGATAGATGGTATGAACAATAAGCCTAAGCCATATCGGAAGGCCAAGTTCCCAGAGAGCGACAACATATATCTTCCCAAAGTGTTCTTCTCAATGCTCAGCGTAGCCCAGAAGAACAGCGGAAAGACCTTCAACATTTGTAAGCTGTTCCATCACTTTGAAAAATGGCCACTTAAAGACCCAGAGGATGGCGAGATAGTGCCTATTCGTGTCGTATGGTTCAGCCCAACCACCACATCGGCAAACAATAGCATTCTCGAAACCTTGTCACAGCTCGATAGAGAGAATGATATCGTTGATGAGTATGAGGACCACAAGCTCCAAGAGAGGATTGATGAGGTTGAGACCATTCGCCAGGAGGTCCAAGAATACCAGGAGTACTTAAGGGCATATAAGAAATGGATGAAGGTGGGAGAGAATAAACTGGATTTCGATGACCTCTTGACGCTTGAAAAACACAACTTTGAGCATCCTAAGGATGTTTTCGGAGATATGAAGTACAAGAAGGTCCCTTGTACCGTTTTTGTGTTTGACGACCTGGCTGGGACGAAGGCCTTTAAGAATGGCAGGAGCGTGTTGAACAAGTTCTTGATTGCCCATCGTCATACGAGCGGGGGAATCAATGTCATCTTCACAACACAGAACATGAGGAGCATACCCCCGATTCTAAGGCGAAATATGGATATATATGTAATGTTCAAGAATATGAACAAGAAGCACGTCGTTGAAACATTATATGAGGAGGTCAGCGGGTTGCTGAAGCTCGAAGAGTTCGAAGCATTATATGAACATTGTATGAGTCAGGAATACGGATGTCTCATAGTCGATAACCACCCTCGGTGTGTTAAGAGTGCTCGATTTAAGAATGGGTGGGATAAGGTCCTTGAGATAAAAAAATAATGTTGCTATTTGGTAGCAATGAACAAAAATAACGGCGCCGTCGGGGGGCGCGACCCCCGAGAGGAACTACAAGAGCAGCTTGTGGCTGTTGAGGAGGTGGAAGAGACCCCACAAGATAGGGCACATAAAGAGGCCTTGAATCTTGTCCAGGAACTTAAAGGGCAATACCCAGAAATACCCGAGACTCTGCTCTATACAGCCGCTATCGATTTCGTCCTCTATCCTGACAAAACCAAAGAGGACTTTGAGCGGGATTATGAGGCTGTCGAAAGGGCTAATGCCATGAAGGCTGAGGCAGACGCTGTGCCTACTACGTTCTACGGAGTCAAGGTTCTTGATGCCAATGATAACGAGGTCATTAAAAATATCTTACCAGAGGTTAAAGATGCCCAAACTGTTCAAGGTTAAGAAGCTTTACCATATATTCCTCAATCTGGATGATAGTGAAGAGGCTATCAAGGCTCAAGCTTATATTGATACTAATCCTAGCGACACTGAGCTTGTGAATTATTTCAAGAATATCAAAACGCTATCTTGGAAGCTGACGAATATTGAGCCACAGCTGCTCTCAGAGAATGCTCGTATTGTCCTTGATTCCTACACGGTACGTCGAGTTCAAAGATTGTCAGATATGAACCTCTACACAAGCGACCTTAACGTCGATGGTATGGCCTATGAATCGATGAACAACAATATGTATGGCACAATCCTGATGAGCCTAAGGAAGGATTACCTGGGGGTCAATGTAGCAGCTGACCCGACACAGACGGTCGATTTCATCTATAGCAACACTAACCATGAGTTCTCAAGCAATTGGAAGGCCAAGCCGAATATGCTCCAAAACAACCAATACTTCCGGCTTTATATCGATGGCGGAAACCTTGGGCATATCTCCGAGTTGAAGATAAAGCTTATCGTCTATGACGAGGTACTTAAGACCCAGGAAGACACCGATATGTGGAGCGACGAGCAGGTCATAAGTGGTAAGACACCAGCTAATTTTTATAAATAGAAAACTTAAATGACAGATAGGACACATATCTTTATAAACAGTAGGAACAGGCTTCCATATGAGAGCGCCAGCTCATACATCGTCAATCTCCCCAACGGGTTGATATATGGGGATGATAAGACACAGTATAGGCTAACCGTCAATTATTTCCAGGTGACTAATAGCTGGTACAACATACAAGATGGATATAACAACCAGTTCCAGATATCAACCGACAACTTCGTCGATAGTGTCATCGACTTCTCGATAGACATCGGCAATCCATCCGTCTATGACCTCGATAATGAGCTCCAAACCAAGCTAAAGGACTATTTCACAGTCGCATATAATAGGAGCCTTAACAAATTCGTGTTTAGCAATACAACAGGTTCCACATTATACCTAAAGGTTATGAACTGCGGGCAGTTCATCGGCTTCTACAATGACCAGACATTCGAGGTGTTGGCCGGTGAAACGCTTGAGAGTGAGAAACCGGTTAATATGTTAGGGGATGAGCTCATCATCATGAGGGTCCGGGGTGATATCAGCTTTGAGAACAGCACCATCGAGAACATGACAACCGCCGAGTTCTACCCCTCGGACATTTTATTCACATTCCCCGTGAATGTTCCCCCATATAGCCTCATTACGTGGGAGAACATAACTCAAACAAGATTTACCCATCTGATAAATAGCCAGTCGAAGAGCATCGACCAGTTCGTCCTTGAGGTTTGCAACGAAGATGGTCGAGTGATACCACAATTCAGCGATTATATGTTACATCTGATGGTCGAGAGGGTGGTCGATAATAATGAGTTCAAGACAAACATATTGTCAATCCTTAATCAGGTGCTTGACTATTTAAAGGAAATCTATATGCTTGTTGGCTCTTACTTCACACAATAAAAATATGTCTGGTATGATTAAAAGATGATTTCAAAGCTTGGGAAGATGCTCACATTCACCCGTAAGCTGGGGCAGGGCTTACAACAGGCCAGGATGATAGGGTCTTATGCCAATAAAGTGATGGGAGGACGGCTTATGGCGCATCCGCTAGGACAGCGTATCAATGATATCACAAAGGGAGCCCAGAGTGCGGTTGGAGTTGCTCAGGGAGCCCTTGAGAAGGCTCACTCTGTAGAACAGGGCATCCGAAGGCTCTAATTCTTTTTAAGCGTTATTCTTAGAATTGGAATGACTGAAAAAAAAATTGAAATTGTTAATATACATACAAAACAACAATTGGATGCCTTGACTCATAGCATCAGGTTCGTAATGTCAAATGGCCGGTACATCACGGCCGATGGAAGGATAGAGGGTTTTGGATATTCTTTTAATATAGTAAATGGCGATGCCAGATAGTAATAACAGCCATGAGCTGTTTGAGAAATACCGACAGATGAGCAAGGTGATGAGCATCCTATGTAATAGAACAGGAGGATGGTATAACCTGTGGAAGAACATTTTGGTTATACCAATCATACTTATATCATCAAGTTTGGCCATATTGAATGGCTCTTTTACAGATGGAGAAATAAGGTATGTAAATATTTTATGTAACAGCCTAGCGGCATGTTTAATGGCGATATCTTCACAGCTTAAAATAGCCGAGAAGGCTGTTATGTATTATGACCTCGGCAGCAAATTCAGCAAGCTTGAACACAGCATAGAACAAGCTATCAGTATGTCCGAGACTAGCTCAGACCGTCTCAATGGTTTCATTCAGTCTTATGATAGCACTATGGAAAGTATAAATGGAATACCAGAGTTTATTAAACAAAATATGAGTGCTATCATAGATAGATATAGATATATTCCTTATATACTACAAGGGTACTCTATGAATCATAGCGACAGTCCTATTCAAGGCGTTTCAAGTGAAAGCGCCGGAGAAAGTGCTCAAATCCCTTGGTGATGGATGGATGTTCCCACAGTATCCATCTAGCGGCTGAGGCAGCTGTATCTGGGACAGACCAGTTCTCGCGACCGTTATTGTGTCTTGCTATATAGTATTTTTTGAGCTTATCGTTGTGGGTCTGTGTGAAATCCTCATAACGGTTGTCACCAAACTGAATTGTCTTTTGTTTTTGCTTATCTTTGTCATAGAGTACAAGCTGCCATTTCTTGTTCTTGGCTTGTGATGGTCTGAGAGAGGCATACTTATATACACCCATTTATTATTTCAAAAGAAAAAGGATAAGCCCCCCCTTCTTTCTCTTCTTTTTTCTTAGTAGTGAATGAACTAAGGATAAGGGGGGGTGAAAGATAAGGGGGGTATTTGGTAAGTGTTTGGACCTTTTTGAAAGATTTGTATAATACTTTTCAAACCCCCCCCTTATCCTTCACCCCCCCTTATCCTTAGTTTTACTTATTCTAAAAAAGAAATATTATATTATCATTCTAGTCTTAAAAATATATAGTAACAACATAGTATAATATTAGGATAACCCCCCCCCCTCCCTAAGATTTCATCTTAATGCCACATAGGCACATCGCCTGGTTCCTGAAAGTGTTTTTTGCGTTCTTCTTGATGATATTATGGACGGTCTCGAAGTAGTCACACATCACATCGTATATCATAGCCTGTTCATTATTGGAGACCGGTTTATTGTATTCTGATAAGAACATACTATAGATATATTGGGTTGGTATCCTGTTGTGGATGTCATCGACGTTCGTTATGTCGATAACTGGTAAGAACTTATGTTTAAGCCAATGCTGGAAGACTGCCACAATGTCATTGTCTTCCGTTTCGGTCTGGTTGTTCGAGGGTTCATCATCTTCCTCGTCGCTCTCCTCCTCCATCCTCATCTTACAATACAGGACATACTTCTCGTCTCTTGATATCACATAAGCGTTTTGTTCGAGTTTCCTCTTGACGTCCTGACGCGTCACATTCACGCTTATGCTAGCGTTCGATTTCAACCACTTCATAAATCTTGAATACAGGTTACTAATCAAGAGCTTGTTGTTTTTGTTAGAATCTTTCTTATCCAATGCTATCACCTCCTCGGTGAGGAACTGTCTAAATAGGTCGGTGTCCTTCTGGTATTGGTTCGTGTTGTACTGGACAGATTCGGGCACATCGAACTCCAATTCTGGATAAATCTTTTGAATGTTGTGGATGATGAGACTCATAAGATAGGCAGGGAACTTTTCAAGCTTTTTATCGATGTTAGGGTCTTTCTTGAAAAAGTTTTGTTTCTGATGTTGGCCGGTGGTTTGTCGCCGCTGTGGAAATATGCCTTATGTTGAATGACCCTCATACGTCTCCACGTTCCGCCGTCATTGGCGGCGTTTAGAGGCACCTTAGGGAACTTATTACAACAGAGTATGAACTTGGCCATAAGCCGAAACTCAACCGGTGTCTTATACAACCCCCTCGCGGTTATCATATCATTGCCTGTGTATTCCTTTACAATGCCTACGTTGAAGACGTCGTCCTCGTCTGGTTCTGATGTTGTAACCAATCGCGCGCCCTTCAATCGTTCGACCTCAGCACAGGCGGCATTTGATGCTGCCCTTTTCTGTGTGAAGAGTGCCACCGGTAACGTCTTGGCATAATCTCCAAATGCCTTTTGAAGCAAGCTCATAAATGTGCTCTTTCCATTCGCCCCTGAGTCACCCCAGAAGATGTTAAACTGTTCCATCTTGCCACAGCAGGCAGCCATCCCGAGGATGTTCATAACATACTCCTTGACGTCATCATCAGCATACACCTGTGATATATACCTCTCTAACTCTTTCTGGGTCTTGTCCTCTGGGTTGTACTCGATGTAATCATAGCGTGTTGAGAGGCTGATATAATCGGTAGGCTGTCCCTTCCTGAATACTCCTTTCTCGAAGTCATAGACACCGTTCTTGAATCCTAAGAGGTGCTCCTTTGTGTCTAGTTTCTCGATAAAGTAGTTGTCGCATAGGAGATATTTAACTTCCTTGATATAGTTGTCCTTCTTGCCGCTCTGCTTCAACAGTGTAATGATATTATCACACTGTGCGGACATCTTGGTATATCGTTCCTTCATTAAATCATCCTTCTCGTTCCTCATCTTCGCAACATAGTGCTTCTTCCTGTTGCCGTAGAGACTAACAATGACGGTCGAGATGTTGTTTGAGAGGATGCTCTCGGTTGTCTCAATCCAACGATTGATGCTGTCCATATAGACATACCATATGCGATTCCCTACATACTTGATAAGGGTATTGTTCATCACAATATCAGGGTATGCCTTGTCCTTGTAATCGATGATGTCGAGGTTGTAGTAGGAGGCAATGAGCACGGCGATGTCGAAGTCTGTGGGTTGTAAGAGTGAAGCGTCGATGAAATAGTTGAGTTCATCCATCTTCTCACTTGAGTGCTTGATGTGTATGAGCGAGCTATCGAATGACCTATCCACCCGGCTCAGTCGTTGCTTCTTGTCATCTTCGGACTCAACAACGATGTCATCATAGATATTATCACAGATTCTTTCCTGAGGTGCCATTTATTTATAGCTGAGAAAATATTTTCCGGACCTTTACGAATATATACGCAACGTTTCCTTATATCCTTTTTCGGACATTCATTTTTTCTCCGGACTTTCATTTTTTTGTTCAAACGTAAAATAGAGCCAATAAAGGCCCTTTATACATTTCTAGAAAAATAACATCATATGCTCACTTCTTGCTTATTTGCCTGCTCTGCTTTCTTCTTGTAATACCTCTCTCTTGCCCTTTTGAGCTCCTTCTGTCTATACTCTGGGTCGGTGTTGTACTTGATGCTCTTGTATATCCTCAATCGCGCGCGCTCCTGTTCATAGAATTCTTTGTCATTAACAATCCTCTTTGCGTAATACTTGGATTGAGGACAAGAATATTGGGGGATGTTGATATTCTCCATTATTGGAACCTTTATTTTCAGTGTATATAATTATTCTCACCTTTATATCATTTTTTGAGCTTTTATGAAATATTGGTATGTCATAGGGGTTAATCTAGTAGTTTAGATATCCATTGACCATTCACTCTTTCTAAGGCATACTTTTTTATTGTGCTTGCCCTAACCTTACCCTCTGGCAAGTCATTGACGCGTCTCACTGCCTTCTTTATGCTTATCTCCTTTTTGTTCTCTTCATAGTAATTATGTTGATACTTGTTATAGGCATCCTTACCTATCTTCTGAATATAGCGTTGTTGTGCCTTATATGCCAGATTCCGCGGGTCCTTATATCCTTGGGCTGGTGCTCTTGGTTGTGGGATTACTGCTTGGCGCATGTTTGCGGGGGTGTTTGCGGGGGTGTTTTCTTGTATTGTTATCGGTCCCTCGTTATCATCGCGTGGTTCCTGCTTGATTCGTATAATATCGGTCGGCAATAGTGCCTTCTTGTAGTTCTTATATTGTGCTATTATGCTGTTTCTCATCTTCAAGCTGACATCAGTTAAAATGTTCGCCGATGCGTTGTTTGAGTGTAGCCAAGTAATAAAGGACGAACGGAACATATTAACGCCCAACCGATGGCCTTGAAACATAGCCGCAAGGTACTTTTCCATGTTGCTCTTAGCCGGTGCGTTCATGTTATTGACCTGCGTTATGTAATACTCACGAGGATATAAGGCGATGCTCTCCCTTACAAAGTCGCTAAGCTTGTAAGCCAATGGGTTTATATCATTAGGGTTGTTGAACCAACCGACCTTATACCTGATTGGGGAATGCCCTTTATGTGCCTTATTGAATACGTACATAATAAGGCCATTCTCTGGGACATAGACATAGTTGGTCTTTTTGTCTAGGTTCTCGAGCGTGTGCGTTATCTTCATATTGTTCAATTCACTCCTCACGGGTGGTGTATAGAGATATGACATCATTATAATGGTGTATGTATGGAATTTATAGGCATCTGTTGAGTTATCACTGAATGCCTTTATGAATGTGTCGAGCATCTCCTCGGTCATGTCCAGTAGCATTCCAAAGGGAAGGAATGTTTGCTGCTCGTACTTGTTCAGTCTGTTGATACCTTCCTGTGATAGGATGATGCCCATATGAAAGTCGGTCGTTATCATACTCATCTTATAATACAGTTCGTGCTCATCTCCTAGACATATCTTTATCAATCTTGTAATGGCCTTTAAGTCATTCCAAAATGTGCTTAGTGATTGGCTTTTATTGAACCTATAAACGAGCATATCAAGGATTATCGCCCTGTGATTCTCAACCATCCACGTGAGATTCTCATCTATCCTATTCGATAGCGTCTTATCAATTATGGATTTGAGCACCTGATATGTGTTCTTGTCATTGCTTACCTTTCCGCCTACATACTTATTATCTTTTATCTCTTGGAGGGTGGGCTTGTGGATATAATTGAGGTTTTGGTATTGCTCCTTAGTCAAGTCATAGGCGTATATCTCGTTTGTCCAGCTATTGGGACCGTTTATGTTATTATCGATTCTCTCTTTCATCTGTTCCATTTTCTGGTAGATAGTGAAGGCATATCTATCATCATTGTAGAAGTCGAACTTGAAGGTTTTGATTGACTGCGTTATGTCCTTGCTAATATCATCTGAAACCTTCCTAAGCAGTTTATAGCTACTTGGAAGCCTGTATTTCTTGTTAAGAGGGTGTTTGATGGTCCTTAGTGGGTTGTCCTTTGGAACTGGTGTTCTTGGGTCTATTATCTGAATGGCTGGCAACACTGCCGGAGGTTCTGTGGCCGGGATTGGTTGGATTAGTTGTCTTGGTTGTCTTGGTTTCTTCTCATTCTTGGCCTCAGTCGGTTTCAGGTAATTAACGGGCTTATATCTCTGCGTCGGTTTCCTCTCCCTAGCGGGGGTTGCGCCCCCCGACGGCGCTGTTCTTTTGCTCAAGCTTTTGCGCGAAGCGGAAAAGGTTGCGGCCATTTATTATTGACAAACAAATATTTACTAGTCATAGCACGCTTTATGTTAATAACCCGATAGACTATGAACCCTCTTTCATTAATTACTCTTTATGTAAATCATTTTTTACTCAATGTTGGCAATTCAGGCATTTTTACCTTTATCAGTGGGCCCGCCTCAGTACATCCATTTTGTTTTTTTTTTTTCCCAGGCGTACCGCCCGTGGGTGTTTTAATGATGTCCGGGCCCAGTGGCCCAGTGGCCCAGTGGTCCGGTGGCCCGGTGGTGGCCCGGTGGTGGCCCGGTGTGGCCGGTGGATAGGTTGTTCCCGGCCTGTCGGCTTTGGGAATCGAACCCGCGTCGTTACAGTGGCTAGCGGCCCTATATCCCAAAAAGGCTAAATTGCCATACTAATGCCCAAGACATAGTTATATATATAGGGCTGTTGGGAGGGAGGAGGCAAGAGATAGAGTATGGTTCGTTGGATGAAGAGGAGGGAGATGATGCCTGAGGGAGATGATGCCTGAGGGAGATGATGCTATTATCCTCTATTGAATATGTTTTTTCCCTCTTGAAAAAAAAGATAGTAATAAAACAACCAAGGATAAGGGGGGTGAAAGATAAGGGGGGGTTTTGAAAAGTATTTTACAAATCCATCACAAAAGGTCCAAACACTTACCAAATACCCCCCCTTATCCTTGACCCCCCTTATCCTTAGTTCATTCACTACTAAACAATCAAACAATGTTGAAGAAATAAATGACTTAGTAGCTCAAAGGGGTATGTGTGAGCGTTAAAAGGTTAATCGGAAGTTTGCGTCAATCACTTAGTAGCTCAAAGGGGGTGGTCAATTGACCACCCAACTTAGTTGGGTGACTATTTAATAAAAACATCATAGGATGCTCACATGTTAGTAGTTGCGCCTCTTAGAAAGGCCCTTATATTGATTACATACGGTGTGTTATATTTTTTACCCCCTCACCCCACGTGTATATTGTGTTTTATACATTGCTTCTTCGGACATTTAGAGGGCTGACAAATAAGCCCCTATTTGTTCCTTTTGGTCACGAATGGTCACGACATTGCTTCTTCGGACATTTAGAGGGCTGACAAATAAGCCCCTATTTGTTCCTTTTGGTCACGAATGGTCACGAAAGCATTTATTCAGACCATTGTAAGAGCTGACAAATAAGCCCCTATTTGTTCCTTTTGGTCACGAATGGTCACGACGACATCGCACAGCGCATTGTAAGAGCTGACAAATAAGCCCCTATTTGTTCCTTTTGGTCACGAATGGTCACGACGACATCGCACAGCGGCATGAGCTCTCCATCTCCCCGGGCCACATCTATTCATAGAGGTTCTACGGACATATAGCTAGATATTGGGGGAGGTCATCATATGAATGATGTATTCCCGGTAGTGTGCTAGGCTCTGACAAATATGGGGTAAATTTGCTGAACAATTATGACAAATTTGTTCAAGTTGAGCTGTAAAATTCTGAACTTTTACTGACAAATTGTTCAATATTTGTCAAATTGGTCATGAATGGTCACGAAGCAAATACTCTTAGAGCTGACGGAGCAGTGGAAGGAGCTGAAGCACAACTACGCTCGGTCGTTCTAGTAGGAGGCACCGATGGCATCTTTGTGAGAGGCCGCTTATGGCACCATACAAGACTTCTGGAGGGAAAGCCGATGGAACGTGTTTGGTCTGTTTGTTTTCAATCCGCTGCCAATTCCTACTTTCGTTGCCTAGGTTCTATGCAGCTTTGTTTGAGCTTAGCTTTGCTTGAGCTTAGCTTTGCTTGAGCTTAGCTTTGCTTGAGCTTAGCTTTGATTTTTTTTCGATTGATCATTATTAAACCTTCTTTGCTTTTTGATTACAATCCGGCCAATGTTTGTTTGCGTGAGTTTTCCTTGAGTGGATCAGGGGATGTTGGATCTTGGTTTACACGCCTCTTTCAAGAAATCCATCACCGTGACAGCAAGGGATCTCATGACTTCGGATGACTGCGAGAAGAAGCAGAGCATTCAATCGCTGCCAGTCCTCGGTGAGGGTATTCATTCATTCTTTCTCAATACCGTTCACTCGTTTAACACTGACTGAATAGCAAGGAGAGCGATGAAGCCCGCAGAACCGCCTCAGAGAGAGATCACCGATTGACATGGGTTTAATTCGTAACGTTGTCAGCAGGCGCAATTTCTATATCCGTTCTTAAGTCACAAGCCGGGCCTTGCGCCTGCATATCCTTGGCTAATCGAGTCTCCTTCATCGCAGACCCATCCGTGTTCCGCTTCTCTCGGATTGCTTTGCGCCTTCTTCCATCCGTTATCATGCTCCCAGAAAGCGCTACGGCTGAGCTACAGGCAGCTGATGAGCGCGCATCGGGCAACAGCTCATGACAGCTGCAGATCGGGCCACCGTACACCCTCGAGCCCCTCGAGCCCTCAGAGCCGGGCGCCCAGGACGAGGCTGACGGAGCAGTGGAAGGAGCTGAAGCACAACTACGCTCGGTCGTTCTAGTTGCAGCGATGGTTGAATACATGAGTCAAGCCAACCGTTGCTTGGACAAAGTGAAAAGCGACGTAAGGAAATAAATGAAGCATTCATTGCATCACTCTTAACTGATCTCGTTACATGGAGCTATTGATTTAACTTGTTACGTTGAGCTATTGACTCTTGCTTGGGATAATGTGACGGTAGCTTGGGCCGAGCAGGAGGGACTAGGTGAAGGGTGGGTTCTCGGGGCATGGGAGATCGACGAACCGGATTCCCACTTTACAGCCGAGGGCCGGCATGCTGTTTCACGGACTCTGAACGGTGCTGACAGCTGGAACAGTCATTTACCTGACGAAAAAGATCGATTTCAAGGACAGTAGGCACGAAACGTTGAGTTTTGAGATTGTCACGAGGACATTGTCAGCAGCCAGAAAGTTCGAGCTTTATCTTCGTTATCATAGCCTCTTGTGCGCCTCTTATTTCACCTCCTTCCAACTTATTTGCCGCCCCTCGCCCTGCCCGCCCCCTTGTCGTTTCTTATCAACTCCTGCCCCTACAAGCCTGCCATCGAACTTCTTACCTATCCCCATTGTGCGCTCAGTCTGTCTGAACAAGCTACGGAAACAATGCACGTCTCTCCTACTCCTGTCGACTCCTTCCTCTCCTTCTACGGCTTCTCCCCCTCGACTTCCGTGGTCTCCACTCCTGATAACCTCGTCACTGACTTCACCGATATACCCGACGAGCTCAAGGATGCTCTTTCCTGTGACTGCAACGATTGTGAATGTCCGGCGCTTCCATCCTGCCCTTCTCAGATCGCTCCCTGCAAGGACCACGGCAAGCCTTCCTATCGCGAGTACGTGCGGTCGAGAAGAGAGAGGTGCAGTCGACGCCAATCAGCGACAGGGTCGTGGATGGAAAGCTGGAGGGTACGGTCGGACTTATTCCGGCGATCATTCTAGCCAGACGAAGGGTCAGAAAGTGAAATAGGAGGCACCTGTAGCGTTAGTGTAAAGTAAGTTGTTGTACACTATGTCTTTTGTGTCATTTGCCCGTTCTTACAAACTGATGATGGAAGGAAAGTAGGTGAAGCTTATTCAATCAACAGAAGATCTTTTATGTGTTCTGACATTTACAACAACACTCCGCTCATCGCGGATCTGATCCGTTGAATTATTTCACAACATCAAACGTAGAACATCAAACGAAAGCATGTACAAGAGGTGCTAGTTCACGAGTTGAGATCGAGCAAACAAGTCACGAGCGAACAACTACTCAGTGATGGAGTCGATGAAACGGCAGAACCTGATCGCGTACTTGGCTGGTGGCTGGGAGGAGCATCCTCCTCCTTCGGAACCTTCGAAAGTCTGACAGCCAAGTCACTCGTACACGAGGCGAGGGATGAGAGTTGGAGAGGGACAAGCAGGAGGAGGAGCCTCACCGTCTTCCACATCCTCTCCAACTTCTTCCTGCGGGTGTAGAGCATGAGGATGTCGATTATGCCCATGAAGTATCGCTCGCCTACCAGCACATTAGGAAGCTCTCAACCTTGACCTCTCCCACGTTCCCCTACCGGTAAAACTGCCGTCCGCCATGCACCCCTCGACTCCTCCCTGCGACACATTGCCATGAGATAGGGAAGAGATGATACAAATTTTTCCGGTCCTACCGCGTTGAATCTTCCAGGGTCCCCGATGTCCTGCTGAGGAGAGAAGACAAGTCAGATACTGGAGGAGGAGGTTCGAGTGCTGACCATGGCCATGTTCTCGCTGTGCATGTCTTCGTGCGTCCTGTCGTCTTGATAGATCGACTGCGGCGCTGTCCCTCCCGGCAACCCGATCGTCGAGCTTCGCCCATATTGCTCCTGGTCTCTCTCATGGATGCCGAGAAGGAGACTGTAGTCCATGATCTTCAAGCTCATCAGGAAGTGACAGTCCGATCTGATCTGATCCATGAAAGCTTTCTTCCTCTGAGGCCCGAGCTTGATCTTGACCCCCATCTCCTTGATGTCCAGGTCCTTGAGGATTGCTCGAGGACCCTTGGCCTTGTCAGCTTCAGAGGCTGCTCGTCCTAACGTGCTGCCCTTGAGGTCAAACCGCCGATGGATCGCCAGGTTGGTAGCGTACACGTTGTTCATCACCACAAAGCGTACATTCCTCCCATACTCTGGTTTCCACCGATGCAGCCCGTAGAAGCGCGGCAGGTAAGTCCCCGGGTTCTGACGGACGTGTTGGAAGTAGTTGGGCAGGATCTCGAGCAGGAGCTTTGCCTCTCGTTTCGGGAGGGTCTTGACGATGAACTTCATGTCATTGCTGAAGAAGAAGAGAGAGCCGCTCTTCCCGGGCGTCCCCATGATCCTCAACGCGTTACTACCATCCGCCTGCGTGTTGCACAGAGCCACCATGTAGTCAGCCGTGTCGATGTCGAAGATGGCGCGCAAGCTGCGGAAGACAGCAGGAGCGTAGTCCTTGAACTTGAACGCAGGGCCCTCGTGCGGAGGTGTTATGCTGCTCCCCCCCGTCGGAAACTTGAGCTTCACCTGTTCACATCATTTCACTGCGGCAGCTTGTGAAGGGGAGGCTGCTCAGCATCACCGTCTCGTGGAAGGCTTCGAACTCCGGCTCGTCCTCCTTCGAGATGCCATGGTTGTTCATCCCCACGTTCACCCGAATCCCCAGCTGAGGTAGAGCATCAGTTTTCACGTGACGAGGAGGAGGAGGGGGTTCAAAGGCTGCAAAAAGGGGGGGTTCACAAGCACAAACCTGCAGCCCGCAGGCCATCTCCCATGCGACATGCCCTTTCCTGTCGACTATCTGCAGGTGGGATCAGCAGGGGGATGGGGGTCGACCTACCCTACCTCTCCAACTTCGTTCAGTTTGTGAACTTTCATGTGCTTTCGCTCCCACAGCCCGCCTTGCCTGGGGAACATACATGTCAATTCGCCGCAGCCAGCATTCTTTGGCGGAAAAGTCTCATGTGACATGTTCACGCACTGTCACCTGCTCTTTGAAGATCTCTTCTCCCTGCTCCTCAAGTTGGTGCCACTGCCGACCCTGCGCTTGCCCTCGTATTCGCCGTCGCTCTTTGAGGTATATCCACCGTCTTCATCATCCCCTGCTCTCGCCTTCAGCCGTCGCTTTCACTCCTCCTAACAGGATACGGACCTGAGTCTGACATGTGCCCTTTCCTCTCCTTGGAAGAGGAGGCTGTTCGTGAGAACTCTACATTTCCAGCAGGGAAATGATCTTTCTTGTAGTATCCTTGAGGACCGTCACGGGGTATCAAGGCAAACATTATTCTTTCTCACCTGCTCTGCTGTGATTTCTTTCCCCACCACGAAAGTCTCTATCATCTGTTATCTCGTTCCCGACCTCCATAGGAGCAGGTCGAAGGTAGATCCGAGAATCGCCAAGCTGCGCGTGGCTGGTTCCCTTCTTGTAGTGGATGGGACCTTCTCCTCCCTCCTCTCCGTCCCAGTCACCCTTGCTCGGCGCATGCGGCTTCAAGTACTGCTCTGTTTCGTTGGTCACGTACACGAAGGGCCTGTTCCGCTCGCTCGTCTTGGGAGGAGGCAGGTGAATGTCGCTGGGGTGAGGGGGGACAGCGGCTGTCGAGATGTGACTAGGGGCAAAAGAAAGGATTGATGTTTCCTCGTACCAGCAATCACCGTGGAGCCGTCAGAAGGCACGACTGGGTTGTGGTCTGCCAAGTTAGTCTTGAAGTCGACAGCCACTGAGCAAGCAAGAAAATGTCAGGAAGTACAACAAGTAACTCTTAGATCACCAGGGTGATGGGACGGAGAGTGCGGCGGGACGAGGGTGTGGGAGGCTGACGAAGAGTTTTCTTGCGTGATCAGACTGTGGGAATTTTCATTCCCATCTTTACACAGACATGCAAACATACCGAAAACCTTCGCTGGGCCTCAAAACTCCGGACTTGTCATAGACCATGCTCTGTGCTATCGGGGTAGCAGGATGTAACTTGAATTCAATTTCAGGGGCAAGGCCAGTTTGAAATGAAATTAGACGTACGGCAGTGAAGGTGCTGATGCTTGAGGCGACGAGTCGAGCTCTCTGAATCGCCTCCTCCTACACATCAGATTAGGAGCGAAGAAAGGAGCTCGCTTCCTCCAGTTCTACATCGGTCTCCACTCCTCAACTCTGATTCCTCCTCCATCCCTGGCCTCCCGTACTTCCCTCTCCACCTTATTCATCGTCCATTCCTTGCCATCTCACCTGCCGAGCCATCGCCTGCTCCCTGAGCCTCATCGCGTCCTCCTTCACCTCCGCCGCTGTACGCGCGTCCGGCATTGTGGGGGAGTTTACTCTGAGTCCCACTGTTCCCACCCGTCGGTTTAAGACGGGTGGGGTACAAGTTAAAGAGAAATGACCGGGTAGATAACCTCAAATAAAGACTAAAATCAAGGGTTGGGGTGCTTTTTGTACCGGTAGTGTTTCCCTCCATACTCTTGCCGTGACGGGTGGAAGCATGTGCCTATATGAGAACTGGGGTGGCCAGCTCTAGGTAGTATTAAAAAAGAGGGTAGGGGGTGATACCTTTGAATGTACAATCACAGAGGTATCTAGTAATTGAAAATATGTTATGACTATACTTAAATAATTTTCATGGAGGACTAGGAAGTCAGTTCACAAACTTTTGTTTTACAAGTTTGATGTGGGGGTGGATGTTAATTTTGGGAATTATGGGGTAGGGTGCCCTTTTCAGCACCGGTCCTCTAGAATCCACTTTGCAGAACGAACTTGGAGTGCTGCTGTAGGGGGTAGTCTATCATGGTACCCGTACAGTCAGACACCCTGTTTTTGCAGTAAATCAGAGGGGTGGCTGGAGGGGTGGAGGTGGCTCAGATGAGAATGAGGGGGATGAGATAGTTGAATGCGCGGGGATGAGGTTACCAAGAGGGTTTGGTGGGGGATGAGGGCCACTCCCAGACTGGCCGTTACAGTCTGGGATGTGTCAGGGAGAGGAGAAGGAGCAGGCGGAGAAGGAGGAGGAGTAGGAGGAGAAGAAGGAGAAGAAGCAGGAGGAGGAGAATCAAGATCAAGATCAAGATCAAGATCAAGATCAAGATCAAGATCAAGATCAAGATCAAGATCAAGATATCACAACGAGGGGAGAAGAAGGAAAGGGAAGGATTGAGCGGTTGAGCAGTGAGGGAAGGAAATTTTCAAAAAAGGACCGATGGGGGCAGCGAGCAAGGATAGTTGCTTCTAGACGAAAGCAGATCGGATTTATCGAAGAGCAACAACAGGCAGGTTGATCTCTCCGTAGCTCACTTCTCCAGAGCGATGAGCGTCAACTGGGTGGGAAGCAAGGCGAGGGCGAGTGCTGGGATGCCTGACACCGAAAGAAAGCATCAGAATGATATGCTTTCCTCCAAGAGCAACGACGAGCTCAGATACGGAGACAGCATCGTGCTGCTGGCAGAGCGCATCTTTGGCTTCCTTCAGGCATCGCCGATGAAGAACGAGGAGAACCAGCTGCTCATACGACCGATCGATGCTAGCCAGGGCCTGAGAACAAGCACCGTCGATCTTGAAACGTTTCAGGTACAAACGTGTCACGAGTACGAAGCACAAGACAGGCTACAAGAATTCCTTGTTAAGCACGGCTTGCACCATCCCTCCGATGTTGCAAGGCTTGACGAGGACCAGAAGGCATTCCTCGAGGAGGTTCAAAATCTCGCTGAGGAGGAGATCAAGGGCAACGAAGAGCGCCAGCTGTTTCATCTCGGCCGGCCGATCAGATATGGAGACCCCTTTCAGCTTCTTCATGTCAAGGTGACCTGATCCTCCCCCTCCACCTGCTCTCTGACTGACATGATCGCGTGCTTACAGACCCGGCTCTTTGTCACGCTAGAGAATCACAGCATCAAGGTCTCCTTGTCCACCAAGTTCCCCAGCTCGTCGAGGAGCTCGTTCGCCTTCCATCTCACTGAGGGGCAGAAGGGAAGCCAGTTCATCTTCGACACTCCAGCTCGTCTAGAGCTGGGAGTCTCGCAGGAGGGGGTAGTTCGCCCAGGGGACGCGGTGGTCCTCGAGTCCATTGCGTATGAGGGTAAGAGGCTATCAGCGCTCAAGAGACAGGGAGAGAACGTCTGGTCCATCCACGCGTCCGACGACGACCCTTGCGAGCTCACCATACAAGTGCAGGCGCAGGCGAAACCAGCACTCAGCGGAAGCTCTCTCAAGTACAACTCGCTTTCACAGGCGACAGCGAGCGCAAAGAAGGAGCTCGAGGCGTCGCTGCACGTGGTAGAAGAGCGGAGACAAGGGATCGCTCGTGAAATGGCCCTGCTGGACATGCGGCTGACGGACGTGAACAAAGGGTTTGACCAGATGGTTCTGCAGATGATGCTTCACTTCCAGGAGCTACACCAGGCGCTTGAAGCGCGCGAGAACCAACTGCTCTCTGAGGCGAGGAAGAGGATTATGGAGAAAGTCACCTACCTCAAGGAGAGGAGGGAGGAGCTGTCCAAGGCCAATGATGAAGCCGACAACGGTATCCAGTTCGCCTCCAAGGTCCTGGCTATGGACAACGACGTGGAGATGCTGCAGATGCAGCCGCACGTGATGAGGAGGCTGAGCTCTGTCAAAGGAGCCGTACACACTTCCTCCCTCCCCACAGAGAACCTGACCTTCCGCTACACCTACAACGAAAGGCTGATCGACTCCATCGGCGAGCATGGAGAAATTTTCATTGGGAGTGCGCACGAGGAGCGAGCAGTTCCGTCGTCTAAGAGAGCCGCGCGTCCTTCCTCAGCGCATGCTGCTGCTCGATCGAGTGAGGCAGAACCTCCGAGGCCGTCCAGTGCCATCCATGATGGGGGCACTAAGAGCACAAGCAAGCAAAAGGAGAAGATCGGAAAGCAGCTGCAATTCTGGCATGGCTCCGACCATCCGGCTCTTGGCGAGTGGCTCTCAGATCTGCGACAGAGCGGAGACAGCATCCGAAAGAGCAAGAGTGCCAACGACTCGTACAACAAGAAAACGGTGAGGAGCTTTTGCATGGCTGCTGCTGCCGCCACTGACCTGGTCCCTTCCACTTTAGCGCATCTCTGCTTCTTTCAGTGGGAAGACAAGAGGATCCAAGTCAACGGACAGGAGAGGTTCATGATCGCTTGCTGACTCGCCTTTGTTGTTGACCCACCCCACAGAAACGTCGATGGATGGGAGGAGGAGAGCAGTAGACAGTTCAGCTGCTTTCGACGCGTCCATGGCCGACTTGTCGCTCGACTCCAAGAGCCATCGGCAAAGCTCGGACATCAAGAGGATGCACGAGAGAATGACGCTTGCTTCAATGTCCAAGATCACCCCAAAGCGGACAAGTGCCCCTCTCCGAGATTACTACGAAGGATAAGAAAAGAATAAGAAAAGAATTATTCATTTGAGTAAATGACGCTATCGTCAGTAGACTCCGATTCTCACATCTAGAAGTCTTTCATAGAAAGGTTTGATAGTTACTCTGCAGGTCTTCCAGGCAGGGGCTACAGGAGACAGACCGTCTTTCGACGCTACCAGCGAATTCCAACGTTATTTCAAGGACTGGGGCTACACAAAAAAATTCATACTTTCGCGCGTTTCTTTAGTTCTTGCCCTGCACCGAAGGGTTACATGAAGGTCTGTTCAATCTTAGGCAAGCTCACAGAAGCTTTGCTTGCCTCAGCTGGCGTTCCCTTCCCCTTGTGCAGCACCGTTTGCTTCGTCTCAGCCTAACCCAATATCAGCGTCGGTGTCATCAAGTTGCGGAAGCAGGAAACCTTAGTCTCTGCCGTCGTCGGTTGAGCCTCCTTGTCATTATCTCCCTTAGCCAACAAGTCCTTTGCATCCTTCTGCTCCTCAGGTGTCTTAGCCGCAGACATCACTTTCTTCGCTGCCTCTTCCAAGAGATGCTTGGTATTGACTGGCGGCATGTAGTTCTTGGCGCACTCGAGCACTTTGTCTCTCACGTCAGGAGGGAGCTTTCTTGGCGTGTCGTCGCCTGTTATTTTCTTTGCGCACAACATGACTTGCTGTTTCTCTACCTCCTCAAGCTGCTGCTTCCCCTTCAGCGAAAACTTCTTTACCCCTTTCCCAGATTTGGCCTGAAGTGCTTTCATCCTGTCCTTCACCACCTTACCATGCTGCGACGCCCCCCCACTTCGGTTCTCGAGCATCTCTGAAGTTTCACCGGCATGATCGAGTGATACGAGGCAGATGCCGGCCACCAGCAGCATGGCACAGCCAACCACTGCTACCTGCCGCCACGCCATGGCTATATCGGGCGCTAAGCGAAAGCTGGCTGACCAGATAGTCGGAGATCTCACTCTCAGTGCTCACGGCCGACGGGCCCCGGTCAGGACCCGGCGCGGGCTCACCCAAGAAAGCCAATGATCCACGTTATCACCCCCACCCCCTCCTACCATCACCCCACCTCCTTCCCCAAAGTCTGGAGAGTGTGGTTTTATCACCCCCAAATATTCCTTTATTTTGAGACATATCAATAGGTAGGGGTAGTGACCCCCCCGGAAAGGAGCCTCATGGATTTTACCCCCCAGCTGGCACCAATGGCGTCTCCCCCCATGGCCTGACTTGTGTCATGCCGCTGCCGCTGATGACACTTCTACTCCTCCAGCTCATCGTCTCCTGCTGCTCCTCGTCTCATGCTGCTCTTCGTCTCCTCGTGCTCCTCGTCTCCTCGTGCTCCTTGTCTCGTCCTCCTACTGCACTGACTCCTGCCCATTATCGTTCCTGAGCTCGTCGGCGGCTTGATGTCCTGTCTCCTTGTGCCCCATCGCCTCACGTGTGAAAATCTTTTGCTCCTGTCTTATAATCCATCAACACCATCGTATGCCCTCATTCCTTCCTTCTCTCCGCTTTTCTCTATCGCATCTCGTCCTTTCCCTGGTGATTTTCTGCATCACCTCCCCATTCCTCTCTGTCGAACTCTTGGTAACCACCTGCTCCTTCACGTTCTTCATCGCTCTTCATCCCTCCTCTTGCCTCACTCGTCGTCCTATCACACGAAGATAACATGATGACTCTCGCTTCGAGTTCGTGTCCTCAAACCTAACCCGTATCTTGATCTGATTGGTTTCGCATAGGTCGTGATGCTCGCATCACAGTTGCGCATCCTGTGACGACCATCTGCCGTTGACTTGGTTGCTGGATGAGCAGCAGCCGATAGCTGAGAGGAGACACACAATGACGTCTACCGTCCCCTGGCACGATGTCGGAGCCGGGTGCATTGCCCTGATTGGAACTGTTGCGCTATGTATCTTAGCCTCGCTGAGGCTGGACAACATGTCAAACATCCTCAAGAGCGGGAGTCTGAAGAAAGTGATCATCGAGTCAGAACAGAAGTTCGAACCACTCGGAAGATTTTGCAAGGACATCGTCCTCTTGTCACTGATCCTGCTGTTCACGTATCAGAGTGAGTACTACCCGGTCTTCCCTCACCTTGCCAAGGAGCATGACATGGATATGTTCTGGTTTGCGACTCTGCTCTTCCTGGCATACTCCTTCACCCGTTGGCAGAAGTCCAGGACGGACGACCTGCTGGGGCGGGAGCAGACGGAGGAGTGGAAGGGGTGGATGCAATTTATGTTCCTGCTGTACCATTACTGCGCTGCTTCAGAGGTCTACAACATCATCAGGGTGATGATCACGAGCTACCTGTGGATGACGGGGTTCGGGAACTTTTCTTTCTTCTACATCAAGAAGGACTACGGGATCGTGAGGGTGCTGCAGATGATGTGGAGGCTGAACTTTTTTGTCTTCCTGCTCATGATTGTGCAGGGCAACACGTACATCCTCTACTACATCTGCCCCCTCCACACGTTCTTCTTCCTAGTGACATGGCTGACCATGCGGGTCTGCTCCAACCTCAACTACACGAAGTGGGGAGTGAGGATCAAACTGTCTGTGGTTGCAGTGGTCATCTTTGCGGTCTGGGATGGAGCTCCATGGCTCTTCGACCTTATCTTCGGCTCTTTCATGGGCCGGGCGCCATGCAAGGGAGCGACGTCTGGGTTCCTGTACGAGTGGTATTTCAGGACGACTTTGGATCACTGGAGCACGTTCCTGGGCATGATCTTTGCCCTCAACTACCCCTTCACCAACATGTGGTTCAAGGAGCTTGCAAAACTTCCTGCTGCCTCGCAAGGAAAAGTCACCTTGGTCGTTGCCGCTGTCTCTTTGACGCTCATGGTACTCTGGTTTTGCTTCATTTTTACCCTCCCGAAGCTCCAGTACAACAACACCAACGCCTTCCTGGCTCCGGTCCCCGTGCTCAGCTACATCCTCCTCAGGAACCTGACCCCCTACATGCGGACATGGTACTGCGACATCCTGCATGACTTCGGCAAGACGACTCTGGAGACTTACCTGCTGCAGCATCATGTCTGGCTGACCTCCAACGCCAAGACTCTCCTGCAGCTGATCCCCGGCAGCCCCAAGTGCAACTTCTTCGTCTGCACCATCCTCTTCTTCGCCTTGTCCCGCGAGACGCACAGGCTGACCATGTCTTTGAGGGCGGTTGTGCTTCCAGACTCCAAGGTACCCTGCCTCAGGAACTCGTGCCTGTTCCTCGCGGCCCTCGGGGTCTCGTACGGCGTCTCCTTCCTGCTCGTTACTCAGGTTCAGGTCTTGTTCGTCCGGCTCTGCCTCCTTGTCCTGATCGCCATGGCCTGCACTGCTGGCGTCTTCCGCGTCCTCCAGCGGACCAGCTCGGAGGAGTACGGGAACGCGGTGAAAGACCTCAGCCTCCAGCTCTTCGAGAAGGCTCCAGTCATGGGCCTCATCTTCTTCCTCCTCATCATCTTCACCCTGCGAGTTTCCACCTCCTCCTCCAGCTACGTCCCTTCCCACCTCGACTGCCTCTCGGCCCTCAGCGCCGTCCCGGGCTCGTGGATCTCGACGCTCCCGCTGGCAGATAAGAAGGCCAGGAAGCTGAGGAGCGGAAACCACCTTGCCGTCTCTGAGGTCAGCTCCAGCTGGCATTCGGACTCCATGACCGTGTCCAGCTGCCTCGGGGCTGGGAACGCCGCTAAGATGAACCAGGTGGCGTCTTGTGAGATGCGTGCGTTCCGCTTCGATGATGGGCCGGGCTCTCGAGCTCTCGGCTGCAACTTCCGCTTCCTGTCCAAGGACGCTGCTCGGGCTCAGCTGGGGAAGGGGACGCGGGTGGTGATCTTCGGGGATAGCGAAGCTCGCAACCTCTACTACGCGATCCGACGGGCCGTCGGGCTCCCGGTCGTCAACGTGAAGGCCCATGAAGACTTGACGCCCATCGGCAACTCCAGCGCTGCCATGCCGGACGTCGCGTTCCTGTGGACCCCTAAAGTCTCCGACGTCGCTGCCAGGCTGGCTACCGTCCTCGCAGACAGCAAGCCGCATGTGCTGGTGATGAGCTTCGGGCTGTGGGACGCGTTGCATGTGCGGGACTTGAGCGCGTTCGAGCAGAGCCTGCAGGGGCTGAGCAGCAAGTTCCAGGAGTCGCTCCCCTCCCTCCCCGTCAAGCCGCTCACCGTCTGGATGCCCCCGCCCACCATCCGCGACCACCTGCTGACCTCCAAGGAGAAGAAGCAGTTCATGACGGAGGCGCTGGTTGCGGGCTACCGCCAGAAGGCCCAGCAGGTCCTCAGCTCCAGCGGCCTCCAGCAGTTCACTGTCAACTTTCCGCTGCTCACAGCTCTCGACGCCGCACAGCTGGACTCGACGGACGGGGTGCACTACAGTCAGGTCTACTACGACACGGCAGCCCAGCTCTTTCTCAACAGCCTCGAACACGCACGGAAGGCGGGGAAGGTCCAAGTGAAGGAGGAGGCGGCCAAGGGGAAGGGGACAGGGGGCATGGCGGACGCCTTGGCCTCCCTGTGCATGCTCGTAGCGGTTGGCTTCATGCTCGTGGCGTGTGACGCGTACGGAGGTTTCCTCCCCCTCCTCGCTGTGACCTTCGGCAGCAGAGAGATGGTAAAGGCAATGGACCTCAAGTCCAACCCCTGCCCCTGCCTGCGATCCGCCGGGTCACTCGAGCGAGAGCACGGGGAGGACGAGGACGAGGGGGAGAAGGACGTGGAGACAGGCGAGGAGAAAATCCTTGCCAGCACTGCGACCTGAGCAGGAAAAAATAAAGTTTACAGCAAGTCAAAACGCCCCCGCGCTGTTCACTCCCTCCTTCAACTCTGTGCCCTGTAAGATGTTCCTGCGGAGAATATAGAACCTGCACAAACGATCACTCACAACCGATCACCTTCGTCCTCCTCCTCCCTTCTCCTCCTCCCTCCCTCGCTCCCTCCCTCCCTCCGTTCTCCTTCTGCTCCACTCTCCTCATCCCTCGCCTCCCCTTCCTCACTTTACAAATGTCGACCAGTAGCTCAAAATTCGCATCTCCCAGTCGGGGGGTCGACGAACCTGCAGCGATATCAAGGGGAGGAGCACAGGGGCAACAGGAGAGAGGGAAGGAAAAGAGGGAGAGGAAAGGAGTAGGGAGAACGGAGTGGACAGAGAGGAAGGAGGACGAGAGAGGAGAGCGGGAGGAGGGGATGGGGGGGGGGGAGGAGGGGTTGGGGAGAAAAGGGAGGGAGGAGGGAGGAGGGGATGATTCGACCGTCCTCTTCCTGGGATCTCTCTTGTGATATTTCTTTCGCGTTCCACATCCGTCGCCTCGTCCGTCGGAGATAACAAGTCGAACTCCTGTGACCCAACAACATTCACCTCCTCCTCTTCCTCCTCTCATCCCTCCCGCCCTTTCTTCCGTTCCTCCTCCTGCCCTTCCTCGGCATCATCCTCCCCCTCACAACCGTAACCTTAACCTCCTCACCGCCGCATCGCTCTCCCCAACTCCTCTTTCCACATCCCCGCCCATCGTCACCTCCTCCTCCCACTCTTCTTCCCCACCGTCGTCTTCGTTCACCATTTCGCCTCTTCTCCTCTCCCTCACCGTCTCTGAGCTTGGCAAGGTCCTGAGCGAAGATCTCCGCTCCTTGCTTCCTCGGCTCTCCCTCCCCCTCCTCTCCTCGCAGCTCACAGTCCTCGTCGAGGAAGACGCATCTGCCGGGCCAGGCCCCGAAGTAGAGGAGGCGGTTGGCCTCGGAGAGCAGCCACGTCAGCAGCGACTGGTCGGAGATGTTGGACGGAAGCACGAGCTTCTTTCCCAGCGAGTCTCTTTGCGGGATGTTTCTGTTCACGTAGACGACCTGCGCCCTCCTCGCCTGCGCCCTTCGCTCTCTCCGCCTGCTCTTCTCTGCTGGTGCTTCTGACGCTGACGCCACCGACCGTCTCGTGACCATCTCACGGTGGAGCGACAGGAAATCCTCGCAGGTGAAGCTCTCGACGAGTTTGTTGTCGGCGATGGCACGCGACTCGGATCGGAAGTGAGCAAAAGACGCGACTGTCTCTGCCATGCTCCCCATCCTCTCCTCCTCGTACCTTCTGTTCCTCAACAGCAACGGCTCTATCTCCTTTGCGGCCTCCTGACAACTGTTGTTCACAAGGACCAGAGCAGTCAGACTGGTGTTGCCTCTCAGCACCTCCACAAGTCCGTCCATCTTCTCATCGCTGCTGATCTCGTTGCAAGACAAGTCCAGGCTCTTCATCGTCTCGTTGCACTTGAGCACGGGCATCAGCTTTCGCACCCCTGCCATGGCGATCCGGTTCTGACTCAAGTCAAGGTGTCGCAGCCGTCGGTTCCCCTTCATCGCCTCCGCCATGTCCGTCAGCCCCACATCCCCTATCTTGTTGTCCCGGAGCCCCAGGCTAGTCAGCGAGCTGTTCCGCATCAGTGCCATGCGCATGACAGCCCCCAGCTGGTTCCCGTCTGAGCTGCACATCCTGCCGCCCTCGCTGAGGGAGAGCGAGAGGAGGGAGACCTGGTTCTTGGCGAGGGCGAAGGCGATGGAGCGGAAGCAGGAGGAGCTAAGGCCGTTGCGAGAGAGGTTGACGTGCTTCATGCTCCCGCTCTCCTTCAGGGCTTCCAGCAGCAAAGCCAACCCTCGCGGTCCCAGCTGGTTGTCGGAGAGGTCCAGGGACCGCAGAGTTGAGTTGACCTTGAGGGAGGAAGCGAGAGCCTCGGCTCCCAGGCATGAGATGAAGTTGGAGGAGAGGTCGAGCGAGGAGATGGTCTGGTTGCTGCCCACAAGCCTCGCGATGTGCCTGCATCCTTCATCCTTGAGCGACGCGTGGGAAAGCGAGAGGGAGACGAGGGAGAGGTTGGCTGGAGACTCGAGGATCGCCTTCACAATCCTCTCGCCTCCTCTCGGGAGCAGAGGAAGCCAGTTCACGTCCAGCTCAGTGAGGATGCCGTCGTCCTCCCTCGACTCCCTAAGTTTCCACGCTTCCAGCTGCTGCTCAGCTGTCTGCTTGGAGGGCACGAGGATGGGAGCTTCGTGCGGGAAGTGATGGGAGCTTTTGATGCGAGTAATCCGCTCCTCCAGCAGCTCCTCCAGGTCTCTTCCTCTTCCTCTGAATAGCTCCGCATGGCTGGCACGCCCATCTCGTAGACTTGCAATGAATCGTCGAGACGCTGCCTGCCATGTCGCTGTTGCTTCTTTGCGGAGATGCGAGTGGCGGTCTGAAGGGAGGTGGCGATGAGATGAAGGATGTTGAGAGGAGGGAGAGGGCTGAAGATGGAGAAGAGGAGAGGAGGAGGAGGAGGAGGAGGAGGAGGAGGAAACACATGCTGCGAACATGCGTATCAACGGCCAAAGAGAATTAGCAGAATTATGGTTAATTTCATTTCAATATAACCAAATTGAACTTAAATTAGCACAGATCTTGGTGGAATGGAAAGGGGGCCAGTTGGACACTAGCGCCTCCTCCCCTACCCCTTCCTCCTCCTGCCCCCCCTCCTCCTCCCCTCCCCCTCCCCCTCCTCCTCCTCCTCCTCCTGCCCCTCGATCCCTCTCCTCTTCTTCGTTGTCTTCTCTCTCTCTCCTCCCTCCACTCACCTCTTGGTCCTCGTCCTTCTCTCTGTCTGCTCGCCCTCCTCGTCCCTTGTCCTCTACTTTATCCGCCCGCCTCTGCTCGTCTCTTCCTCCTCTTGCCTTCTGCCATGACGGGCCAGTGCCTTGCCGCCTCTTCTTTCCTTCCGCTTGCATTCCTCTTCTTCAATCACGTGGCAGCGTTCTTGTCCCCGTTGCCCGCATCGAAACCTCTGTGCTCAAGGACTCCTATCTGCATGCAAGACAAGCTGACAGAGGCCGAGCAAGTCGCGATCAAGTCAGGACTGCAGTTGGTCCCATCACAGAAACATTTCAGCAGGCTGAGCATGAGTAGCAAGCGGGGAAGGAAGAAGAAAAGTTCGTTCGATGCTGACTTCGACTCCATGGACAAGCTTGAGCGAGAGGCTCTGCTGGAGTCGGCGCAGCTCTCCTCCATCAATCCTTCTCATCTCCTTCGCGCCATCCATGTGCCTGATGGTGATCGAGTCAAGGCCGGCAAGGCGCTCATCAGGAAGTCGATGGGAGTAGCGAGTCTCCCGGCCTTCCTGCCAGCAGACAAGTGCGCGAGGGTACGAGAGCACATCGGGAGGACAGTAAAGGGGGACACTATCGACTCGGTCGATCACTGCCCTGAGTTTCAAGTCTCCCTCTCTAGAGAACAGCTCTCCTCCCTCCTCGAACCGCATGTCGTAGCTGCTCTCTGGGCTCTACCCACAGTCTTCCTGGAAGAACAAGCCTCTGCTGCTGCGCTGGCAGAAGCTGTCTCGAGATTGACCGAGCGTGAGCTGGAGGAGCGGGGATGGAAGGGGAGGGTGAGGCGAGAGGCGCGGGAGAGCAAGCGTTCAAGTGTGTTGACAGGTTGGGATCTTCGGGAGGAAGTACGAGGATGGAGGACGGACGCACCTCGGCTTCCACATTGACACCAATCGAGTGACCATCAACATCAGCCTCTCACCCCAGTCCTCCCACCTGTGACTGCTCCTCCCCTCTCGCTTCTTGCCTGTAATGCCTTGCTCGCAGAGGAGGAAACCTGCTCTTCCTGTCCGGCCAGGCTCTTCAGCTAGTGCGGCGCGATGAGGGGGAGCTTTCGATTCACAGGGGAGATGTTGCGCACGCTGGTAAGTTATTGTTTGTTGTAGCACGTTTGACCTGCCGCAGTGACCAAGATGCAAGAAGGCGTTCGTTACTCTGTGATCCTTTTCTTCCATTGACCTCTCTTCTCAACTCCTTCCTTTCCCTTCTCGATCGTTCCCCGTCGTACCATCTGCACAGACAAGCTTCTTTGATGTCTTCATTACAAGAGCATGTACATGTTGTAGAATAATTACAAGGAAACACGCGGGGCCTGTCGTTGCCTCCTGCTACTCAGATTGACTTCTGTTAATTGTCCAGGTTCTGTATCTCCAGCTGTGACGGAGCTGGAGGCGCCTCTCGTCCTCTCTCAGGGTTCCACACTCGCACGAAGTCTGTTCCGATCTCGATCGCTGAGACCGACCCAGACCTTCGTCGCTGCACCTGCCCCGTTCGCAAGCTGCTGCTCGAGGACGCGCGGTTGAAGGCGAGCCGAAGGCCCCGCCCATCGAAAGGCTCCACCTGGTCGGAGCCGATCTGAATGATTGAGAGTCTGGGGCGCACTTTCTGCTTCTTCCTGCAGGAACGCATCCAGCTGATGGCGTACGTCAGGATGCCACAGACCAAGACGCCGGCCAAGGCGTAGAGAGCGATGGTGGCCTGGAAAGGAAGGGAGAAAGAAGAGACAGGGGATGAGGCCGCCAGGTTCGAGACAGTAGCGTCTGAGTTCTGCACTCCCAGCGGCAGTCCTCGCTTCTGAAACTCGTCGTTGAGGTTGTTCATCCTCAGCTTGCCCGCCACGCCTGCTGCGCTCTTCTCGTTGCTATCGTACACGCCAAACTTGACGTTGATGCCTGACCCGCCTCTTCGAGCTGCCTGCACGCTGTCGATCTGCACCAGCGACACGTCGACCGACGCCACTGTAGCCACAGAGATCCTGAAAGCCGTCCTCCTCGTCTCGTCGAACTGCGCGACAGAGAGGGGAAGACCGACCGACATCTCAACTTTGTAGTTGCCCAGGTTGGGGGATGGGGATGACGGTGAAGATCCAGTGGAAGAAGGCGATGCCGACGACGAGTTCCCTTGAGTCTAAAGAAGAAGAATCAAACTCGAATTCGCACAAGAAAATGCGGACAATTGAAGCATAGACAGACGCTGAACAACACCAATCAAAAAACTCACCCTCGTGTCGCATGGCAATGTTACGGTCCGATTCACGTAAATCGTGCGATTAACATAAACCGTCTGCGAGAATAAAAATTTCAGATAAATCTCCAAATGAATGAGATTTCGTATTGAAAGCTTATCTGACAAAAAAAAAGAAAAGAAAAAAGAAACAAACAATGCAAAATCAAACAACAACAAAAACGATGGTCACCTTGGTCTCGCAAGGCTCCATGATCGTCCTGTTGATGTACACCTCCTTGGGTACGTACACTGTGTTGTTGATGTACACCTCCACAGGCACCTCCACCGTCCGGTTGATGTACACCTCTACAGGGACCTCCACCGTCCGGTTGATGTACACCTCGTACGGCTCTCGGATCGTCCGGTTGATGTACACTTCAACAGGAACAACCACCGTCCGGTTCACGTACACCAGCGTTGGCACCTCCACCGTCCGGTTGATGTACACTTCCGTCGGTACGTACACCGTGTTGTTGACATACACCGTCTGATCCGATCGTCCCCACCCAGTACAAAACACGCCCGTCACACACTCGTACTTGCAAAGCAACCCAAAGCCCCTTTCCTCCTCTGCCCTTCCCCTCTCCTTCCCTCCCTCTCTCAGCCCCAAGCCCCTTCCTCCCAGACAAGCCCGTCCTCTCTCTCCCTCTCTCACCTTGGTCTCGCAAGGCTTCATGATCGTCCTGTTGATGTACACCTCTACAGGCACCTCCACCGTCCGGTTGATGTACACCTCTACAGGGACCTCCACCGTCCGGTTGATGTACACCTCGTACGGCTCTCGGATCGTCCGGTTGATGTACACTTCAACAGGAACAACCACCGTCCGGTTCACGTACACCAGCGTTGGCACCTCCACCGTCCGGTTGATGTACACTTCCGTCGGTACGTACACCGTGTTGTTGACATACACCGTCTGATCCGATCGTCCCCACCCAGTACAAAAACACGCCCGTCACACACTTCGTTGCGAGATCTCTCCCCAATACACTCACACTCGCACACACCCCTCCCTCCCTTCCTCCC